CCGTTTATAAAGTTATGTTCTAATAAATTAAATGATTCTTAAAAATTATGTTTTTATGCAGGAATAGTAGGTGAGGTACAAGTAATATTTATTTCACATATAGATTACATCAAAAAAAATTCTACGATTCATTGGTATTTTTGAAATAGACAGTATTTAAGAGAAAAAACTAAATTAGATAATAATGAAGAATTAAAGAAAAATGTGTTTCTTCAATTAGTAATTGAAGAAATTAAGCTTAATTCTTACTAATTAATTTGTTTGTAACTTGAGAAAAATCGACGATTGAAGAATGAAAAAAAATGGTCATGGCCATATTTTGAAAACATTGGTAGCACCAATATGATACAATGACTATATTTTCTTGTTCTTCAGTAGTTGAACTTATCAAGTTGATGACAAATTAATTTGCATAATTAAACCTCATATCTTCAATTGCAGATTGAAGAAACATTTTCTTCTTTGATTATTCATAATTCTCTAATTTCTTTATTTTTCTCTTAAATATCTGTCTATTTCAAGAATACAAATGAATCATCAATTTTTTTTAGTATAATCTGTATTTGAAATAAATATTTTTTATACCTCATCTACTAGCCCTACATGCAACATAATTTTAAAAAATGATTTAATTTAAATAAACATAACTTTGTAAACAGATAGATTATAAAAAAATTACAAAAAAATAAAAACAAAATATTAGATAATTATTATCATTTGCATGAGTTGATGAATATATATATAAAACAAAATAGAAACAGACTTGCACAGACCATATCATCAACTCTTATGCAAATAAAAGCGTACAAAACATGTAAGACAACATCAAATCAAATGAGCAAAAACTGCCCTTATATTTAAGACATTAAAATATTTTCTATAGGAAATGGCTTGAAGACAGAAATCCTCAGTTTTGAAGTCGGTAGCTGGTTCAATTCACTTTATAGATTTGAAAAACAATAATGAAGAATCAAAGTTTACATCAAATTATATAGAGAAAATAGCCAAAAGTCCTCCTAATATATTACCCAATTTTCAACTACACACTTATTCACTACGTAAGTTTTATTACCCTCTTAAACTATTTTAAAGTGAAATTATTTGCTCCCTAGAATGCTGAGGTGGTAAAGAAAATGCAGTGCACTCTCTTTGAGAGAGTGAGAGGTAAAAATAATAATTAAAAACTTTAATTTTTAAAATTATTTTTTTTACTTTATATTGGTTTTCTTTTTTTTAAAAGGAAAAATTACCTAATTACACATCATTTTTTTCCTATTTTCTTAAAATCTCTACTGTTTTGATAAATTACATAAATTCCTCTTTTTCTCACTTTTTCAGATACATCACTATCAACACTCATCCCACAATTTTTTGCTCCTTTTTTCACGTCACAAATCTCTCCACAATTATCCCATTAGTCTATTTTTGAATATCAAATCTTTTCTCTTTCCAATTAATGATTTCAAGTTATTCAAGAGTTATTCCCATAGCTTCAGTTTTCATTTTTTTTTTTAATTTTTCATCTTCAAAAATCGATGATACATATGGATGAAGGTCCATATTTCAATATTGGGCTTACCCAATTAGTCGAAGAAGGATGAATCTTCGACTTCTAAATTGACTATGGAAAAAACGCTAAAAAAATGGAAAAAGTTGATTTATTGGTGGCTCTAGTAAGGACTTTGGATCGAAATCCATAAGTGACGTCATTGTTAACAGTGAAAAAAGATACAAGAGTGATGTTGAGAAGGAGAAGGAGAAGGAGAAGGATAAGAAGGATGTACATTCGTCTTATAAAGTGATCTCTAGAAAAAAGTGGATGTACATTCGTCTTTTAAAGTGAATGTTGAGAAGGAGAAGTCGAAACAGATCAAATTGTTAATTTTTTTTCGATTTCTTCTTGTTCATCTTTTTTTTATATATATGGGTTCAGATTTTTAATGTATCCAGTTGTTTTTGTTTCTTAAATTAATGTATAATGCATTCGTTTCAACATTATGATACATTACAATTTCATCATGTACAGTGTATCCTGTTCAATTACTAAAGTATCTTATGGTTATAGTTTGGAATACATTAACTAGATTTTTAATGTATCTAGTTAATTTTATTTCTTAATTAATGTATAATGCCTTTGTTTCAACACTACGACACATTACAAGTTTATCATGCACAGTGTGTCATTACTCATGTTCAAATATTAGTTTTGATACATAACCTTAATTAGTTTTGATACTTGATACAAAACTTCTACCAACTCAGCTTCACCATCAAGTCGCCGCCCTCGTCAACCTCCCACCATTAAGCTGATTTTCATCCTCAAATCACAAATTTTTCACGGTAGATCCATTTCTCATCAGTGTGAAAATTTGACAATAGCTTAAAATGAAAATAAAAATTGAAAGTCAAGAGGATCAAATTTTAGTGTCATTATTGGAGAAATTTAGGAACCCTTGAGTGAAATTTATAAGTTCTCTTAGTTATGTTGTCCTGACCCAACCACTGTACATAATTGTCGTGCCGTCAATCACCATCTACCTCCGTCGTGAACCGTCACGTTCATCTTTGAATTAAAGTTGCTAAGCTCTCAATAATTTCAACCAAAATCCAAAAATCACTTTGAAAAATCAAATTTGAAGCCTCCAAATATTGAAAACTATCACTCTTTTGTGTTCATCACTAAGCTTCCATGTTAGCCCATTCATAGTACCAAACAACATCAAAGGGTAAATCTTTTTACCATTAATCAACCCTTTTAAATTCTTTTATTTTATTAAATAAGAATCATGATGAATTTTCAATTAATGTACAGAAGGTTTATGAAAAAAAATTCACTCAAGGATTCCTAAATTTGATCTTACTTTGCTAGTTTGAAAAATCATTTGGCCAAGGTAAAGAAAAAAAAGGAGCAAGAAAGGAAAGAGAAGAAGGTTTCATATAAAAGGAAAGTAGAATAAAGGAAAAAAATAATATTTTAAATTTTTAAAAAGGTAAATTACGTGGCAAGCGCGTGCCATTTACTTTTTGATACATATCTGGGTGTGAGTTTTTAAGGGGTATATATTATACTTTTAAAATGTTCAGGTGGGTAATACAACCTCCGTGAAGTATAAGGGGTCGTTTGGTAGGCCGCATTAAAACAAATAGTCCATGTATTATGTATGATATTATTTAGTATTATGTTTGGTAGGAAATTTGATCTATGTATAACTGATTCATGGATTAGTTATACCAAGGTATTAGAAATACATGGGATAAGTCTATGTAAAGATGATAATATCCCTCAGATCATTTTAATTATTTTGTTTATTTTCTTGATTTTATGTTTTATATTTGTACTAGTAAATTTATTAAAATAAATTAGCTTACAAATTATTTAGAGAGAGTTGTTTGTTATTAAATAAATCCAATTCAAATTAATACAATATTTGAAATGTGAGTTGTTTAACATTAACTAATTAAAAAGGCAAATATATCACCACATGTGTGTGTGTGTGCGATTTTCTAATTATTCGTATTTTGAACAATTTATAAATTGAATACATACTAAAATTACAACTTGCAAATTTTATGTGTAAATGTAGATGGTTTATTCAATTTTACTATTATTTACCGTATTTTCAATTTTAAAAGTTGATAGTTTATTTTTTTTAAAATTGAAAATTGACATTTGTAAGTGATCAATTTACTAAGATGACAATTATTTATCCTCAAATAATTTAAGTGAAAAAAAGGCAAACATAACAACGAAATTGTTCTTCTCATAGCTAATTAGAAGGTCATAAAAAATAATATTGTCCGGCAATTATTTACCTTAACTCAATTGCATAATAATTCAAGGGTATAATTGGAAAGAAGTTTTTTTATAAAGTTTTAATCCAAACACAAAATGAGGTGGAAACAATGAACCAAACACTTGGTAAAAATATCCCTGCATCACTAATCTCGGCACTATTAATCTCTGCATTACTAATCTCAACACTGTTAATCCCTGCATTATTAATCTTTGTACCAAACAATCCCTAAGTGTGTAGCTGAGGATTCGACATTGAGGGTTGATATGACAAAAAGTCGGTGTATTTTGAAGGTGCGGAAAAACATACAAAGAACAATATATTGCAAGATTTGGGATATAAGCAAGGTCAGCTATCTTTTAAGTACTTGGGAGTTTCATGTCCACTAAAAGACTCATAGTGCTTATAGAATAATTATATAGATTATCAAATGTGTATTATAGTCCACAAATCTTTCATGTTTAGAGCAAAAAGATGCAGAGGCGTAAGGTCAGAAAAAAAGGTTATATAAGATTCAATCCTCACTGGAGAAAATAATACTAAACATCTGTAAAATGATAAAAAATGAATCCCAAAATGTTTCATTTCTCCCATTTGGTGCAATTCTAGAAATAATCAATCACCTCCCCTCACAGAAGCCAAAACCAGATCATTGTGTGCGCCGCGCTTATAAGTCTATATCCACAACTGACGTGACTCCATATCGATGCCTTGACCCTTTGCATAGTATACAACTAACGACTTATAAACTTGACGCACTTTTTTTTCTTACCCGTAGCATAGGCCTTCATTAGACATTTGTCCTTTCGCGGCTATAAGCGAGCACCTTACAACCCATCATGCTAGCTAGCAAGGCCAGCACAGAAGAAGCATTAGACCCTCTGAAGTAAAGATAAAATCAATCTAATATGCTTGAACAGCTCACTTGTGTTGCATTGAGCCAAAATAAAGTTTGAACTTTGAAATGTTCCAGTTCTCCAACTAAAGTTATTAGCAGATGTCAGTTAAACTGTAATTATCCATATCTGTTACAACTTAGCAAGAAGAAAATGAAAAAAATTTATTTCTAGAATTTCATATTCTCCCTTCTTGATAATCCTTTTCTGCATCTTGATAGGTTACTTGTAAGATATTTACAGAGAAGATTTCAAAACAGCTGTCTAAGCCACTTCGTTGTGATCTCATACAAGCTATAAATAGTTACCAGGTGAAGACGCCTGCATCTCATGAGAAGAGCAAACAGACATACTTAACGGTAAGAACAAAAATGCCACGATATATCAGAAGCAACAGAAGACTTAACCTGTACATTTAGGATACCCTAGCAAAATGCTGCCTTTCACCCTAACTGGATTGCACTGATAGAAGAATGATTAAGCTCCTTTGAAAAGCCAGAAAAATCCCTGGTGGCTCTCGTAGTTACACCTTTAATTTGACTACCTAGTTTGGAGGCTACGAAGCAGGGGAAGTATGGTGGTCCTTCACCAAGGCTATTGGCGTTAAAGGAGGTGATGAAGCCATATCTTCCAGTGGCTTAGAAACATGAAGTGATGTTTCTATCTGACCCCGAGATGGTATAGAGTAACTACGAGGAAGAGCTGGAGGAGTTGGTAGGGTAGAAGCAGCTGAAGATACTGCCGCTTTATTTGTAGGAGAAAAATCCTGAACTTTTGAGACCAAAGGTCCTGAACGAGTAACCGGACGTAAGGGTCTTGTAGAGGTTACTTTAGCTGGTGGTCTAGGTAGTTCGTGTAGCTCACTTATTTTAGGTGATGACATGAGGGAAGTACGTGAAGATAATTTAGGGGTTGATGAAGGTTCAGGCGTTGAAGTATGCAAGAAAGGCAGAGAAAAATGCAGAGGGTATCCAGATGAGGCAATTGGACTACCAGAAGAAACAATGGGCTTCTTTGGCCATGGCTTTGCCGTCAATGGACCAGAAAAGGCTTGTCTCTTGACCTTTTTGGCATTGGACAAATCACGTTGTGCAGATGAGAGGCCTTCTGACAGTGGAGGGGGCAACCAACCAGTACTTGCATTGTTTTTGCTCTCTGTGGGAACTGATTGTGTATTCATGGTGATAGGTCCAGAGAACTTATCACCTGCCACAAGCTTTTCATATTTGAACTGATCCAAAGGGGAGGAATGCCACTTCTGAACTACACTAGTAGCCTGGCTAGTTCGCTTTGTTTGAGGGTCTATGTTATGCGATTTTACTGATTCTGGAATCTTCGCCTCCACTGGTGTGGGTAGAACATATGGTTGAAACTTGTTTGAGAGTGACGAAGTCATTCGTGCGGCACCCTCAGCAGGATCTGGTTTCCTCCCAGACAAAAGTGGTGCTGATTTAGTGCTGTTGACATCCCTGAAGAAGGAAAAACTGTTCCCACCATGACTCTTACTGAGATTTTCCTATACAACCCAACAGAAGAAAATATTTTTTAATCTCCAGATGGTGACAGGTTGGCTTCAGCAATCTCATATGAAAGGAGAAACCATAAAAAATCAAACTAAGAAAAAAATGAATTTTCATCTTTTATTTCTATCAAAAAAATAAAAGCCTCAATTCATTTTTATGATAAAGATGAAAGATACTAAATTCACAAACACAATGTGGGGCTCCAAAGAAAGGATTTCAACAGCTAAAGGAGGTCAGTGAAGATAATGTATAATACCTTTGATGCACCCTTCAAAGCAACTTGGGGAACTGCAACATCCACCTTATCCAACTGCAGAAACGTCACGTTGTCAACAACCACTTGATCAGTGAAAATATTGCTCGGTGCATGTATTGTTATATTAACTAATGAACAGCAAATTACTAAATGAGGATAGTATTTAAGCAGATAGTATTCATGAATTTCCATATAATCCCAGAAAGAAAAATAAATAAAAAGGAGAAAAGCTTACCTCCATTGAATGGGTTGATGTATAAACCTGGTCATTCTGTCCATAGTCAAAACTCAGTTCACCATCATCAAGCGACTCAGATCCATCATCAGAGTCATCCACGGAACTGTTTTCATCCTCATTGCCAGCATTAACTCCATCTTCTTCAAGCCCACGGAAGTGGTAATCAATATGATGCAGATCCGTCACCAGTTTGACATGTGGCTCAATCTCCTCAAGGGACTTGAGGGCTTTCTTGAAGAAAGATAACTGATTTGAAAAACAAGCCAAAGGTCATGATCAACCACCCCAAATATGGTGCAAGCATACACTTTGGTTCACTATGAAACGTAAGGGATTTCATTAACATTAATGGAAAAAAAACCTGAGCAGCATGGTGTCGAGATGCCTGTGTTAAAAGGTTGCGGGATTGTCCTTGCCTGAGGGACTTCATACGGAATACAAAAACATTTGCCCCCTGATCATAGTCTTCATAAGCTACTTCCAGCTGATGAGAAGAAATATGTTCTCCTTTAGTTCCTTTTATCCTGCCTTTATCTCTGTGTTTTTGCATCATCTTCTCATACACTTCTCTGGCAAAGAAGAGAGAGTGAGGACACTCGCATAGAGAAAAGCTACACAAATGATTAGAAGTAATTTAGTTTTACCTCTTGTCGTCACATTGCATCTTCATTTCCTTCACAAAGAAGAAAGAAAACGTCAAATGCTTAAGCATGTAAAAAGTTGCAAGCAAAGAAACAATATATACTGTCAACACATAAACTATGTTTCTAAGTGGAAGCCAAATCCCAGTAGTTACTATCTACCATAAAAAGGAACGACAAAATGACAAAGTATTTAGCCTTGTTAATTTTAGTAAATATCAGATTACTTGGTCTTCATATCACAGTAAGCATGTAATCAAAGTATACGACTTAATAAGTGGCAAAAGATTGATTGTGTTCTAGTAAAATAAAATTTCCATGAAAGAGGTACCTGAAGACAAGCAAAATACAAGTTATATTTATTACCCTATTACATCTACCAAAGTGCAATCATCTTCCCTCCCTACTTATTCTGCATTCATTATGACACCAATGGATTTAACAAGCCATTTAAGTTATCCTCTGAATTCATATGCAACCCTAGAATCAAGCATCCCCAATAGAGAGGACAAGTGCCTATTATAATATATCATTTATGACAAGTCCGCGACCACACCAAGTAAAGAGTAGGTGAGGAGCAAAAGAGATTCAGTTACAATTATAACTCCAATTTCAAATGTTGCGCGTTGCTTATTAAAATAATCAAGAAAAAGTATCAATCGACGGAGAGGCGTGGCAAACTAGAAACAAAAGCACCACAAAACTTTTTCTTTTTCTATGAGAACACTGAAGCTCTTGAAACTGCAGATAGTAGAGTAGGACAAATAGCACATTGTAACCCAAGAAAACCATCAGCAGGTGTAGTCCATAGCTAGAGTTGCTTTATCCAAATGACTAACCTCAACTACGCGCAGTTCATTGATAAGGGATTCTGAGGGGACTGAGATAGTCTGAATAATATGAGACCGCTGAAAAGAGAACATAAACACTCATCAAAACAGGGTATTTTCAAGAACTTAGAAATAATTCACATTGAACTTTTAGCACTCACATAGTTATCTACAAGTCTCTGAAGCTGAAACTGCAGTTTACCTAGCATTAGTAACACCTTACCTGTTCATATAGAAACCAGGTCAATTTTAACAATCAAGATTGAAAAATATAAAAAGATTAGGAAAACTATAGCTGATCTCTTAGCAATGTCGTATAAAATAACAATATAATGAGTTTTAACAATCCAAAGATGTGCACATTATGATTGAAGAACAAAGGAAACCACGATTAGCATAATCCATTTCTTTCAATTTGGAAACTTATCAGATCTATCATGCAATGAGAAACCTTCAACAGAAAGGACATCATAGATCTTTTCTTCTGGGATCCTTTTGCTTTTGTTAGATAAGTATTTATTAATGCTGTAGATCTAATAAATAAAAGCCCCGGTCTAATAGATTATGCTTTAAATGAGGCAATTCAAACAATTCAACATGATTTCGAAGCAGGCAATAACCCTAGGTTCAGATTACACTAACACCCATAATACAGAGAAATTTCAACATGCTAGGCCCAAGAAAAAGCATTAGAAACGCATGTCATTGTATCTTTAAAACAAATAAATAAAAGTGTTTCCTCTCTACAACTTAAATATTTGGTTGAACGGACTTGTTGAAAAAAAAAAAAGTCAACCTGGTCAATAATTAATCAACTAAACATAGTAATACTTCATACTGACCGCTTTCTTCGTCATCATTCAATGCCGTTTTCTCAAGAAGACAATCGCCCATTTCTCGCAACGATTCAGAAAATTCTGAAAATAGACTATCTCAATTAAATATAACTTGCACAAAAAGTTCTCCAGAAGTACGAATCCAACTAGTAAGAAACAAAGATGAAAGCTGAGGAATAATCCCTGCTAATTAATACATCTGCATGCATACTAAGGTACAATAAATATGGATATCATGTTTAACCAGTACGTCATTGTTTATTGGTCAACCTATATGACACATTATAATGTTAATGTGATAATTGATTGAAGTATACAGAAACAGAGCTTCTTAAAACTATTTGGCTTTCTTTTGACACTTCAAAGAATAAAAGATAAGTTCAAGCTTCCAAGTATAATTAGCAAACTATTCCATTTTTGGAAAGTTCAAACAAGCAAAACTAGAAAGTAGATTGGTTTGATGGATAAAACAGCATTTAGTTACGCTTCCATCTGCTTAAGTCATTTCATAAATTTTCAGGACATGCATTGCAGTACCTCGTTAACCATTCAAGTTTTCAATTTAGTAGCTAATGCTTTTGCTTCCCTATTTGATTCAATAAAGGCCTATGTTAACTAATAACTACATTTCTTTTGTTTTGATAAGTAACCTTGTTAACCAATAACTCTTTTCTATTTGGCTGAATGAGTTGCAATAGCACTTCAAGGAGCCCTAAGAAGAAACATAAGTCACCAATGTGTCCCACTGGAGCTTAACGCTCGAACCTTTTACAGATGCAAAATGAAACATAGTCTCTGCTAGAGTGTTTTAAGTTTACAACCATTATTATCTGGGGCATTTAAGTAAGTGAAAAGTAGGCAGATATAAGTATGCTTCTGGCCCATGAATTATTCTCAAATATTTATGCGAGTTCCAAACGATGTGCTGAGTGGCCCTTAAGGAATTCTCTATTAGTAAAAGTATTTACAAGTTGAAGCTACTCTTAGAAGATGAAAGACAGATACTATCATATTGTAAAGTAGCTTCAAAAGAAAACATGTAGTTCAGAAGGTACAGTGAAGTAAATGGCAGTAAATTACCATATGCACCATTTGCAGTTGCAGCTGCTGCAGAAAGTAACCTATCGTAGCAATCTTTCATTTCTTGCATATCCTACGAGAGGTGAAAGCAACTGTCAAAGACCAAGCTATAATAAACTTAAACCAGAAAAATTGACAAAATACTTCTGATAACTCTCATCTATACATCTATAGATAAATTAAGTGAAGAGTTTCTATAAGGAACTCTCATCTATAATTCTATATATAAATTAAGTGAAGATTAGAACAGCTAATTAGGAAAAAGTATATTCATAGTTGATTCATGAATCAAATCACCTACAACCAGTGCTGGCATTTTGAAGGAGACCCCAAGTGGTAGAGTATGAAATTTTTATTAATATCCCCAGCATTGGCTACAACAAACAGCATTTCCTTATAGTATCCGCTAAAACAGTTCACAATGCTGCAGCATGATGATGAACATCGATTCACTATTTCTTGGGGGCTAACTACAAGTATAGGCCCTATACATACCCAAGTTCACACCCCTTAGTTTAATACAACGGAAACCTTGTTTTAAGCTGGATTAGTAACATGGAAATGCTTTTCACTATACCAGTGTTCAAGATTGATTTTTTTAATGCGATCAAAAGGAAACAATTCTTTTCAATTAGCAGTGTCTTATATTACCTAGAAGAGAACATAAACCCTCTAAGAAAGACCATGTTCACATAAAATACTACGGAGATGCAAAGTCATGATAGACATCTTTTCAATAATGGTGATGTCTAGGCCAACCTGAACCCATTTCGACTAATCCAAACGAGACAAATGCACTTTGTGTTGGAACAGACGTATCCATATAGCATAAATCTGAAATCCCAATCATGAAGTACTGAAATTCGTATTCCAAAGTACCTTAAGCATATCATCAATTAATCAGCATTCTTATGACATCCAACCAATCAATCAATCAACTGTAACTCACTCCCCAAACTAGTTGGACAGAACACAGGATCAGAGCCAGCATAGTAGATACAGATTCGGCAGAACCCAATAACTTTGACTCAAACCCTTCATTTGTGTTTAAAATTTCCATTTAATATGTACAAATAATCTATTCAGAACCCACTAAGCTCAAAGAATTACTGTCTGATTTAAACACCCATAGACTAAAATTCCATGATCCCCACCCCCCTAAAATCCTCCATGTTCATTCATTTCTCTCCAAACCCACATCATTACCCAAGAAAACCAATTGGGGTTGTCTAAATTAATCCCTTTTTTCCATTTTCATAAATAAAAAAAAATTGCATCTTGTATCATATTACCCAACACCCACAACCAAATCAAGAAAAAAAAAATTTAAAAAAAAAAAAAAAACCTGAGCAGCCATAGCAAGCTCATCGGAAGGTTGGCGATGCCTTCGTTCTTTCCTTTCATGTCTAAGAGTAGCCAATCCTCGCAATTTCTTCAAAGATGTTTTCATATTTTAACGCTAAATACAGAAAAAATAAAATCCAAAGTGTTTGTTTGAATGAAAAAAAAAGAAAGAGGAGATTTTAGAGAGGAAGAAGAGAAGCGTGTCACAAAATTGGTCAAAATCAACATAACTTTTTTGTTGTATGTATTTATGGTTTTGTGGTTTATGTCAATTGTCAAACTGATTTGAATTTTTACTACGGTATCGTCTCAATTTTTGTGATATTTTTTTATATTTAGAGAGTCAAAATTTAAGTTAGATCGAAAATTTATGCATAAAATCTCAATTTTTTATGAAATGATATTTATATATTATAATTATGAGTGACAATAATTAATAATTTAAAATATTTAAAAGATTTATAAAAATTTATGATAAAAAATAGACTTGTTTGAATCTTAAAATTTGAAAAGTAACTTATAAAATAGGAGGGACGGAGTATTGTTTTCTTTTTATGATATGATATATACAATATTCTTATCTCCCTTTTAGTTATTTCATACACTATTTTTTTTTAAAAATTGGCAATATTCGTTAATTTTATTTTTTTTATTTGATTTATATAAGAAATAAGATTAAAGGAAAATTCATAAAATTAATTTACCTTTTTTTAAAAAAAATTATTTGAATTGGCTTATTTCAAGAGTTTTTAAGTTATAGTAACTTTACAAATTCATAGCATATAATTTAAATTTTTAGATTATAAAGTTCAACAAAATATTTTTTTTTTTTTTTATGTTCGGTGTCTAGTTAAAACAAGATACATAAAATAAAACGATGGAAGTATCAAATAGAATTCGGTCAAAGACAGCAAAGAATATGATTAGTGGATGAAGTTACGTTGTTCGTTCCTTAATCAAAGGATTCAGATTGAAGTCTTCAATATGAAAAATAATTTAGTATGAAACACTACTTTTCAAATATAATTCTATACAATACTAACTTAAATTATCAAATTCTAATATAGGTATTTGAATAAGAAATCACAAAATAATTGTGTCAAAGAGGACAACATAGTAAAAATATGTTATTTTTTGCGTCAAATTAAGAAAACTCATTAATGATTATTTTTATGTACAGTCAAAATGTTGACTTGGATTTATTTTATGGTCAATGGTCCATTAATGAGTTTGGTCTCCAAGTAGTTTCTTGTTTCTTAAGGTCATTATTTTACTCTTTTTTCTTTATTTAAATAAAAAAAATTATTATAAAGTCTTGACCAGTACAACTTTTTCTAGGAAATTAAAATAATTAGTGTGGAGGTGAAGAAATTCAAGGAATTTTTCTAAGATAACGTAATTAAAGGGATTGACTATTCGGGAAGCAATGACTAATAAATGTGTTTCTACATTATACTATTATATGAGTATGGGAAGGGATGGGTATAAATAAAAATTGAATTATAGAATTGGATCGAAATTTATCATGTTGACGTATGATTATTATATTGAATTGAATTTTTTAAAGATTCAGTATTTAGTGTGTACTTTTAATTAAGAATTATTGAAATTGAATTTTGTAAATATTGAATCGAAGACACAGAGTGTTCACATGTACTTATTAATGTTAGCTTTGAACAACAAAAGATAAAACCCGAGAAGTTCAGTGCATAAGAGAGCAGTGTAATATTTAGTGAGTAAATGATAATTGGATGATCCTCAACAAGTAAAAATAAAAAATGATTCATAACTAAAATATAGAAATAGCATCCATGAATCTCGCCTTTATAAAGTCCATATCAATATGCTTTAGTTACATATTGGCTAATGGAGATCTCAGGCTCTTTCAGAACTACTAAGTTTTTGGTCATCTTGATTGGACACAAGTGAGTGCATGATCTTGTACTTCAAAGTTAGCTAGGTGGGCTTCGTTCGTACGAGACTGATCTTAACTATACATTTTGATTTTAGAACTTTTATTGATATGATTACTCGGTCATATTTTTATGTTATCTTTGCTAATCAGTCATTTTTGACATATTCTTCTTGTCACATCACTTCTTGATTTGTCCACATGTTTAGTCCGAAGTTATCTTATATATTATAATAGAAAATTGTACTTGATCAATGTTCTACGCTCTACAAATGGGCATAACTATTTATCATGGTAAGACTGAATTTCAATTTATTTTTAAAGGTGACCAAAAAAATTCAACAAAAATCGATATATATTTTGAGAAGTATCAGTTTTTGAAAAAAATATATATACTTTTTTAGCTTCTAAAAACAACTTTTGAAATTACTCAAAATCACTTATTTGTTTTCTAAAAACTTAATCAAACACTTTGATTCTTAAAAATAAGTACAATATTGTTTTTGGAAAAATTACTTTTAACTTTTCAAAGTTGGACCAAATTGACAACAACAAGGAATTGATATTCTTCATATTGACAATTTTTTTAGCATTAGACATATAATGTACATAATTAATGTATATGGTTAATTAGAAACATTAAACTGCTTACCACCTTCACCTCAACCCCATTGCATCTTCCACTTTCCAAATTAAACAAAGTTTGTTTTGTTTTCCTCCTTAAAAAGTCTTGAGAGAATATTTAAAATCAAATAAAATAATATACAATTCAAAACAACTGAAAATTCTTGTTATGTTTCTAAAAAAGGAAAAAAATGATAGTCTACACTATATAATTCAAGGTTTAACAACCATGATTTGACACTTTACCAAACACACTAGTATCTTAGAAAAACTCCAACTACTATTTTGATTATTTTTCTATTACCACAGCATAACAAGTTAGAAAGGTTGTTAACTTTATTTTTTAAGTCATAAATTATATACTCATTGCATTTATTTATGTAATAATAGTGTTTGAATGGATACATAGTTCAAACAAGAAATAAAACCTTTGGCACGTATCAAAAGTAATTTTAGAATTTGTAGCTTTACAAATATTATGACATTTAGTAAAAAATTAACTTAACGAATTTGAATTTTTAGATATAGAAACATGTTAATAATTTTTTTAAAACAGTAAAAAAAAAAGACATAAAATGAAATAGATGGAGCACTATTCTTTAAATAAATAGGTATTTACTGAAAAAGACATTTTTATATGTGTGTGTAGTTAGAATCGCATATCTTTTTCAAAGAGACTTTTGTTATCAAAATACGTGGGCTACAAAAGTCTCGTAGAAAGAGATGTGTGATTCTAATTAAATTAGATAAATTTATTTAATTTAGGGGGTAATAATTTCCCTTTCACACGAGTTTTTAATATTACTGACCTTATCATAATTTGAAGCATGGATAAATGTATTCGACGCTTTCAGATACATGTATTTGGAATATATGAGGTTGAAATAATTAGGTGTAATTTATTTCAGATACATTATATCAAAGTGAATTTATATGTATTTGACTCTCTTGCTCGTCTTTCTCCTATCTCGCTCGTCTGTTTCCCAATATGTTTATATTTTAGAATGTATCTTAAATATATTTGGTATCTTAAATACATGTATCTAATATGATTCACAATGTATTTGAGATACATAATGTCACGACCCAAATTCACGTTTTGTGATGGCACATATGTTCCCAACTGATAGGGAAGTCAACTCACTAGTTTTTACCAATCTAATTAAATAAATAAGGCGAAAAAACAAACGACAAGTAAAATACATCAAACAATATGTTTGTTATAAGTATGAAGTGCGGAAAGCTAAAATACCACCCAAGATTTTGGTGTCATAGTATAAGAGCTTTTAAAATACGGTGCAAGTCTGAAACTAAATGACAAGCCTAAACGTAAGAAATATCATGTATGGATACGAAAACAACAGAATAAACAATAAGATAGAGGGAGGTGTGGGCTGTAGAACACCAATTAGCTTACCACAACTCCAAGATTGGACTCAGAAAGCTCCACGAGATGTGTACGTATCAGAAATTGGATCTACACCACAAAAAGGCGCAACAAGTGTAGTATGAGTACAAAATCACATGTACCCAGTATGTCTCATAGACCGACAACGAAAAAGTAGTGACATGGTACAATAAAAAAATCATAATTTTACTTATACAAGTCTACATTATACTTATTAGTCAAGTTTCATCAAATAGGGGTAATCAAATATCACGTAATGTCCAATCACCAATATAGCACATAATCAACAAGAATGAAGGATGTAATAAGATGCAATGTAATGTGACACTATGAAATGATATGTCCCAGATGCTAAGTACTTTCTCAACCGTATATACATGATACTTCTCAGAAATATATCAAGAGTTCATGACCCGTGGGGGATTCACGAGCTCCATATACCGACACAAACTATTTCCATGTGTATGTGTAGACGATCTCAACGCACTATCAAAAAATCAAACAATCTCAGCACGGACGGTCTCCACGTACCCAACTTAAAATTATAAAATCAAACAATCCCAACACGAACGATCTCCACGTTCCCGACTTATACTCAATCTAATGTCAATGCATGTGCACAATATGATTTCAATAAAAGCGAATAATGATGCATCTCAATCACAAAAATGGGTATGTCATATAATCACCTCAACTTTCACAAATATATAGGTTTAATAAAGAACCACAACAACACAAAAGAAACCAAGTCAATAATAGAGGTTAAAAGAAGCATCTTAGAAAGAAGCCCTATAAGGAATCTTAGTATTTGCACACGAGTTCTATAGACATGAGATTAGCATTTTTCTGAGTATTAGAGTAAATTGAATATAGACTAGTTTAGAAAAGATGAAATATATCCATAGCTTCAAAGTATCAGATTCAAACCTAAATAGGAGATCATAAGATGAGAGACCAAGTCAAGTGTTGAGAATCAAATAGTAATGTGTTTAGAAAGAGTTATGGTGACATATCAATTCATTCATACTATAGTGTATTCCTCAAAATTCAATCGTTACAACATACTGGTAATGTATCTAATACTAGAATTGTGCTCATGACCTATGCTCATACACTTCAGACAGATTCACATCTATGCTCAGTTTCCAGAATAAGGAGCAAAGACTTTAGCCCATTAATCTCAATCTTACTCCATAAAGTTATGGATATCAGTCTCACGATATGAACCCTATTAATATAAGCATTCATGTCT